TGTCAAAGTTAGACTCAGGACTCCTAGTTTGTCAGACCACTCTGTTTTATTAGCACAGCGCTCTGCTAATACATTCAGATAATGTGAGCCCCCATGCAAGAGTCAAACAGTCTTATTTATACAGATAAAAGGGTGCGAACTAAACAAAGGGACAGAGAGAGCAAATTGAAGAATTTGCCTAGGGCACAATATGCATATCCTACTTCCTTAGAATCATAGAATATCAGGGTTGGAAGGGACCTCAAGAGGTCATCTAGTCCAACCCTCCTTATTAGCTCTTATCATCTAAGGCTAATGCTTCACCAATCGCCCTTAAGTGGAGCAGTTGATTAACAGTTTCCTGACACCTGGATTGCAGCATTTCATACAGCATTCTTTAATTCATTCTATTTCTTTAATATAATTCATTTCACTTTCACATTCTCTAACAAGGCCTTCCAGTGTCCCATAAAGCTTAGCTCACCCACGGGTTCTCTCCCAGTATTAAACCGGTAGGCCAGCTGTGATCTCCATTCATAAGACAAGCCAGCTAGTTCCCTAGGCGAAGGATACCTGGGTGTACTCTGCACCCCCAGATGTAGTTCCAACCATCCATTGTCTTCACTTGTAAATAGGGCACTCCACAATGATTGCAAAGGCTTCAGGGAAGATTCTAGACAGGAAAAAACAATCACTTGATTAGCATTTTGCTCAAACTGTAAATAGGTGTTCATTGCGAAGCATACAACAGTCAATCTGCATATAGTCAGACAGGTAGATAAGTGTCTCCCGCCTGAAATAAACTTGTTTATCACTTCTGGTGACCAGCCCCAACTCAAAGACCTTAAGTGCATGATTTTCAATATATATACATAACTCCTTACGTATTTTTATGTACACACATCTCGCAGTGATACAGGCTTTCACGAGAGACCTGCCAACAACAGTTACGTAAGGACCAGACCCAGGGGATCCCTACAACCCCATGCCTTCTGCTAGTGGGCACTAAGAAATCTCTTGCTCACAGTTTTCTTTTTAATTAACTAAACCAATGGAGCTCTTTAGGTCTCTCGCCCTTGGTCTCCAGTCCTTGAATAATTTTGTGTCAGACAAACTTGATACCTCAAAGAATGAAATGAGATTAGTTTGACAAGACCTATTTTCCACAAAACCATGTTGACTGGCATTAATTTATCTTCCCATCTTTTAATTCTTTTTGGATTGAATCCTGTAGCAGCTTTTCCATTATTTGTGTGGGATTGATGTCAGGCTAACTGGCCTATACCTGTGTCATCACACTTGCCCTTTTTAAATATTGCCACAGAGATAGCACTCTTTCGGGCTTCTGAAATTTCCCCAGTATCCTAAGGTTGATTACAAATTAACATCATTGGACCAGAGATCTCCTCAGGGCAGCTCCTTTATGACTCTTGGGTGCAATTTATTAGGGCCTTGTGATTTAAAAATGTGTATTCCCTAGTACATGTTGCCTAACGTACTCCTAAGTTACTACTGGTCTGGAAAATACTTCAGCATCCTCATGTGTTACAAATACTTCTTGCTTCTTTCTAGATACAGAACAGAAATATTTATTGAACTCTTCTACCTTTTCTGCATCATTATTAACTGTTTTATTGTCTTTATCTAGTAATGGGCCTACATCAATACTAGGATTTCTTTTGTCCCTGATATACTTAAAAAACTCCTTATTGTCCTTAGTCATTCCAGGCATGGATTTTTCCCCGATGTCCTTAGCTTCCCTTATCAATTTTCTGCACTTTGTACCATCTAATTTATAGAATCATAAAAATGTAGATCTGGAAGGAACCGCAAGAGGTTGTCTTGGCCAGATCCCTCCGCTGACAGGACCAAGTATATAACAGGTGTCTGTCTCAGCTGTTCTTAAAAACCTCCAATGATGGGGATTCCACATCTTCCCCTGGAAGCCTATTCATGATTCATAGATTCTAAAGCCAGAAGGGACCATTGTGATCTAGTCTGACCTCCTTTATAGCACAGGCCACAGAGCTTCCCCAAAATAATTCCTACAGCAGATCGGTTAGAAAAACATCCTGTCTCAGTTTAAAAAGGGTCAGCGATGGGAGAATCCACCATGAGCCTTGGTAAATTGTTCCAATTACCTCACCATTAAAAATGTATGCCTTAATTCCAGTCTTATATTCCAGGGCCTATCCTTATAGTTACAGAGTTTTTCCTAATATCTAACCTACATCTCTCTTGCTACAGATTAAGCCCATTACTTCATGTCTTGCCTTCAGTGAACATGGAGAAAAACTGATCACCGTCATCTCTGTAACAGCCCTGAACATGTATGAAGACTGTTATCATGCCCCCCGCCCCCCCACATGCTTTTTTTTAGTCTCAAGACTACTCATGTCCCATTTTTCAACCTTTCGCCATAGGTCAGATGTTCTAAACCTTTTATCACTTGTGTTGCTCTTTTCTCAACTGTCTCCAATTGTCCACATCTTTCTTAAAGTGCAGCACCCAGAACTGGACACAGTAATCCAGCCAAGGCCTCACCAGTGCTGAGTAGAGTGGGACATTTACCTTTCATGTCTTATGTGCAACACTCCTGTTGTACACCCCGGAATATTAGCCTTTTTCATAACTGCGTCACTTTGTTGACTCATATTCAATTTGTGATCCACCATAATGCCAGATTCTTTTCAGCAGTGCTACTATCTAGCCATTGCTTCCCCATCTCGTAGCTGTGCATTTGATTTTTCCTTTCGAAGTGCAGTACTTTGCACTTGTCTGTAATGAATTTCATCTTGCTGGTTTCAGACCAATTCTTTGAGAAATTGGCGTTATTTTGAATTCTAATCCTCTTCTTCAAAGTGCTTGCAACCCCTCCGAGCTTGGTGTCATCCACAAAAGTGTATTCTCCACTCCTTTATGTAAATCATTAATGAACCCAGGACTGACCCCTGCCGGACCTCACAGTGACCCATTGATAACGACTCTTTGAGACTGGTCTTTCAACCAGTTGTGCACTCACCTTATAGTAATTTAATCTAGACCACATTTCCCTAGTTTGCTTATGAGAATGGCATGTGGAACTGTGTCAAGCCTTGCTAAAATCAAGATACATCATGTCTAGAGCATTCTCCCGTCTACTAGGTCAGTCACTCTGTCAGGGAAGGAAATGAGGTTGGTTTGCCATGATTTGTTCTTGACAAATCCATGTTGGCTAGTCCTTATAATCTTATTATCCTCAAAGTGCTTACAGGGTTGGTTGCTGAATAGCTTGTTCCGATGTCTTTCCAGGTATCAAAGTTAGGTTGACTGGTCTATAGTTAACTCTCCGGGTCCTCCAGGTCCTCTTTCCCTTCTCCAGTCCTCTGGGACTTCACCTCTCCTCCAGGAGTTCTCAAAGACCATCTCTAACAGTTCCGAGATTGCTTCAACTAGTTCCTTAAGTACCCCAGGGTGACTTTCATCAGGCCCTGCCCACGTGAATACATCTCACTTATCTAAAGATTCTTTAACCTGTTCCTTCCCTATTCTGGCTTCCGTTCCTCCCCCTTGTTGTTGTTGTTAATTGCGTTGAGTATTCTTAGTGAAGCCTGAAGCAACGCAGGTGTTAAGTGTGTCAGCTTTCTTGAAGTTGTCCTTTATTAGCTCTCCTTCCCTGCTAAGTAGAGGGCCTACAGTTTTCTTTCTTTTCTCTTTCACCTACTGTAGTTATAGAACCTTGTCTTACTGCCTTTTATATCCCGTTCTAGGTGTAACACATTTTGTTCCTTAGCCTTTCAGATTTTGTCCCTACATGCTTGTGCTACTCTTTTGTACTCCTCCTTAGCAGTTTGTCCATGTTTCCACTTTTTGTAGCATTCCCTTTCGATTTTCAGGCCATTCAAGAGTTCCTGATGGAGCCATACTGGCCTCTTACTATCTCTCCTATCTTTGCACCTTTAATATTGTCTCTCTCAGAAACTGCCAGGTTTCCTGAACTCCTTTATCCCTTAGATTTTCTTCCCATGGGACCTCACCTACCAGTTCCCTGAGTTTAATGTCTGCTTTTGGCAGTCCATTGTCTTTATTCTGCTGCTCTCCTGCCCTCCTTTCCTTACTACAGTGGTTTTCAACTTTGTCTCGTTTGTGGACCCCTAAAACATTTCAAATGAGGTGCGGACCCTTTGGAAATCTTAGACGTAGTCAGTAGACGCCCAGGGGTCCTCAAACCATGAGTTGAAAACCACTGCCTTAGCATCATTAAATCCCTCATTTCAGGATCACTTTCACCCACATTGCCTCAACCTTCAGATTCACAACCAGTTCCTGGCAGCCTTTGGGAATGGGGCACTGGTGCTGTACACCCATGCCCAGGCATGTCGGTTGTCAGTCTTCCCCCTTCTCAGCTGGAAGCTACACCTGGTTCTGTGGGAGCCCCAGGCCCACTGCATCTCTGCTCTCACCTCCACCAGGGAGCGGGAGGCCCTGCCTCCTTGCCACCCCACTCTAGGAGGCTGGTTCTCCGAGCCAGGACTCCTGGTGGGGAGACCTGGTGGCCCTGCCTCCGTGGCTGCAAAGCCACTGCAAGAGAGAGCCTGGTAGGAGAGAAGTCTAATACCTCATTCATCTCCCGTGCCAGCCCATGCCAGGCCCACTGAGCCACCCTCTCCCCAGGGACTGGGAAGACCCCTCTTCCCATCTTCAGTGCTTGCTCTGCCGCAGCCTTCCTGCATCTCAGCCCGCGTTGCTAGCTGGGCTTGGCACGCGACCCTGGCCCAGCCGTCTGCCAGCTGCCTGTGGCCCTTCCCCCAGTCTGGGTCTTGCTTGTTCCTGAAGCTTCTCTCTGGCTGTGGGAGAAGGGACCCCTTGGCCCTCACATCCTCAGTTCGGGGCTCTGTGCACCAGTGCAGGTTCCCCGCCATCCCTGCACTCTGCCATGCAGCGCCTGGCTGTCGGCAGGAGAAGCTGTTCCCCACCCAGACACCCCCAAGTGAGCTGCCTGGGGTGCGCAGACCCCTGACCCGCACTGCTGTGTCTTGCAGGTGCTGGCTGAGGAGGAGAACGGCGTCCAGGCTGCCTGGGAGTCGGAGGAATCGGATTGCTCAGGTGTCGAAGGGGGTTCTGGTCCAGAGTCCGATGGCTCCAGAGTGCGGGTGGGGCAGGAGCCCGAGGAGTCGGCCGGCCTTGGAGGGCATGGGCGGCTGGAGCCCGCCAGCTCCAGAGTCTGTGGGGCGCAGGAGGAGGAGGAGGAGGAGGGGAGCTGCTGCAGCGATGAAGGGGAGGACGGCAGTGACGTCTATTTCTATTACACCATTGGCGAGCGCTGGATTGACTATCTGGAGAGGACCGAGGAGGGCAGCCTCATCCGACACGTGCGGCCAAAGGTAACGGG